TGAATGTGGTGCTTTTGGGAATAGTTAAGAGAGTATCCAGCGGCTTATGAGCCTTGGACGGTGTGGTTTTATGCTTGGGTCTCGTATGGTGAGTCTGGGTTGAAGAATTGTGATGCTATAGCAAGAAGCAGTATCAGGTTAAAGGTAAATCAGAAGGAACTTGGATAGACGGGATAGCTTGGTAGTGGGCCGGATCGACATGGTAAGGAAATGATTAGTTCTTTGGGTGCTTAGGAAGTAATGAGTTCTTATAGGTGTTTCGCGGCAATGCTCTTAGGTTTTGAGGGCTCGTGTATCTTGGTTGAGTACGTAGATGCTTGTAGCTCGGAGTGGATTATGAAGTTCTCTTATTTATCATAGGATGGTATGGTATATGCGGTATGTTGTGTGGGATTGAGATTTGCATGTGTAAGGTCACGGTTCAGTTCTGAGAGGAAGGTCATAAATTCTTAAACAGCATGGACAATTCTGATGACTAGATAAGTGATATTACTAATTGGTATGGCGTGATGAGAGTATACATTGTAGGAAGGGCGATGGGTTTGAGTTGAGGATACTTCATTTGTATTGTGGCGCTCTCTTGTTGGATCGACTGCTGATATTCGAGTCGCTTGGTGGAACAGAAGGATTTTTAGAGTACCTCTCGTGGGATGATTGTGTATTAGAGGTGCATCGTATATTCGCGCGGTGGAGTTAGGATCGCATATGGTTATTCGCGTGCTTTACGGATTTGGAGACTGGGGGTTCTCATAAACAGGTTAGGTCATGGTTGTGGACTGCGAATATCGGTCTTGTGTGGTAACTATTGGAGTTTGGAGATCCGAGTGGATTCTTTTTGCTTGGTGTGTTAGATTTCTGGATGTGATATTGGGTATAGACTGGTCGTCGCAGTGCTGTGTCATTCTGAGTTATTGTGCTAAGGCGGCGATGTTGGCTATGCCGGGAATGCCACGGATTGAGTGGCGAGGTTCGACGGATTATGTTCTTAGTAGGGTGGTTTTATATTTCGAAGACCCAACGGATGGCTGCAAAGGATTGTCTTTCTTATTTGGGCTTTCGTGATGGATGTCAGTGTAGAGACTCCTACCATTGATTCAGTTCCGGTGGTGAGGGACTTTTGGATGTGTTCTTGTGGCCAGGCATGTCGCTGGGCAATGTTGTTGATTTCGGTATGGATTTGATGCCGGGCACCGTATCGTATGGCACCGGCAGAGTAAAGGAGTTGAAGGAGCAACTTCAGGGTTTCCTTGATAAGGGGTTCGTGGGAAGGCCAATGTGGATGTGTGTTCTAACTTGAGTCGGCTTGGTTGGCTCCGAGTTGTAATGTTGAGGATGTGTTGATTCGATTGTTATTGAGCTTATCAGTAATCTGGGGAGATCTATGAGTTACCTTTCTATGTTGCGAGGCGTTATGATTTGTTTGTTATAGGCACATGTGGTGCGTTTCAATTGGGGTTTCATAGTGGAAGTCGAGTGGGGAGAGTAATTGGGTGTTGCTCGGTGAATGGCGTATCGGTTATGTCCTTTCGGGTTTGTGTGGTGTATGTTATTTGCTTCACCGTGGGTATGATGATTCGCTTTGGTTCCAGACATCAAATTGCGCGTGGTTGTCGATTTCGAGCATAGTGACTTGAGGTGTTTCATGTGGACCAGTGTTTGGATAGGGTCGCGCATTGCAGAGAAGTTATGTGGAGGTATGACCCTTCGGGTTAGATTCGCGTATTCTGTTTCTACGACGTGTGATGGGTTCTCAGCATTTTGTTGTGGTGGTGCTGGTGAGTTGGTGGTACAGCCCTTTCGTTCGAGTCGTCTTCATGATTGGAGTACATTCAGATTTTTGTTTATTGGTGCGGATTGCACGGGTTGTGGCTTTAGATTGTATTGATGTGTCATGTCACCAGAGTAGTGGCGTTGGATTAGATGAGATCGTCGGGATCTGAAATGAGTACAAACCGATTCGATTTCAGCATGTTGGAAGGATAACATCGAGGTTTGGCTCAAAAATTTGCTATGGTCTTTGCCAACGGAGAAGTGGCTTCATGAATGGTTGATTTGAGAAATGGTTATGGCTTATTGCGTGTTTCATTTATCATTGGCAGTATATGAAAGTGACGGAATGAGACTTTAGTTGATAAGAGGTTTTCTATCGATATTCGGTTGTTGTGTGCAGCTGTTGTGATTAGAAGTTATCGCTACCAGTGTTTGAGTTATGTGGTATATCATGTAATTGCACCTAAGGTTACAGATATGGTTTTTTACAGCTTGTTCGGACTTATTCATAGTATAAATATGAGATTCTGATCGTATTGAAGATTTCAGAAGTGGAAATGTGGTTCTAAGGTTTAAGGGCTAGGTTGGATTGTGAAATTTCAGTTATATCTTATTATCGGACCTATGTGATATAGGGTGACGTGGGATCACCCCCGGGTATATGCGTGGTAAGATTATTCGGCGATTGGTTGGCTTTTGGAACAACTCTAGGCACGTTCGAGGACGAACGTATGTTTAAGTGGGGGAGGATGTAACGACCGAGCCGGTCGTTTTGAGCTTTTGCACTTCGCTCGCCAGTTCTCGGGCATGTCTAGCCCCGTATTATGCATTATGACTTATGTAAATCGTTGGTTTTGGTTTCAGGGTAATTGGAATGAATTTGGAAGAACAGTTCTCAGTTTGAAGCTTGAAATTTGAAAGGTTTGACCAAGTTTTGACTTGTTTGTAAATGATCTCGGATTAATTTTTATGATTTGGTTAGCTCTGTTAAGTAATTTGGGACTTAGGAGCGTGATCAGAATGTGTTTTGGAGGTCCGGTGTAGATTTAGGCTTGAATTGGCGGAATTGAGTTTTTGGCGTTTTCCGGTTGATAGGTGAGATTTTGATATAGGGGTCGGAATGGAATTCCAAAAGTTGCAGTAGCTTCGTTACGGTATTTGGGATGTGTGTGCAAAATTTCAGGTCATTTGGATGTGGTTTGGTTGGGTTTTTGATCAAAAGCGTAATTTAGAAGATTTTGGAATTCTTAGGCTTGAATCCGATGCAAATTTGGTGTTTTGATGTGGTTTTGAGTGTTCCGAAGGTTGGAACAAGTTTGGATGATGTTATGGGATAGGTTGGCATGTTTGGTTGAGGTCCCGAGGGCCTCGGGTGAGTTTCGGGTGATTAAACGGATCAAATTGCATGTTTAAAAGTTGCAGATTTTAACTTCAGTTCTGTTGCAGGTTATTTCCTCTTCGCGATCGTGTGAGGAGGCTCGCGATCGCGTAAGAGCTTTTGTGGGGGCGGTTCAGGTTGTGCTCCGCGATCGCGTAACCTGGGTCGCGATCGCGTGAGTTGGGCAAGTTGTGCATCGTGTTCGCGTGAGTATAGCCGCGATCGCGTAGGGTAAAATTTGGGCCAGCAAAGTTTATGCTTCGCGATCGCGATGGTTTTCCCGCGATCGCGATTAAAGAATTTTAATAGCTGAGCAGAATGTTTAAAAGACCTGTTTCGCGACTTTGAACCCTTTTACACCATTTTTGGTAGATTTGGAGCATTCGGAAATCGAAGGCCAAAGGCATTTCAAGCTAGATTTCGGGCCGGCTTGAGGTGAGTAATGATTTTAAATATTATTCTGAGGGTATGAAACCCCGGAATTTCATAGCGTTCGGTGCTATGTTGAGGTGGGACACACGCTAGATGACGAGCGTGGGGTCGTGCACCGTTGGGAATTGTGACTTAGTCCATCCCGAATGACTATTTTACTGCGTATTTGACAGCTAATTGTTTGATATTATTATATTTTGGGCTTAATGCCATATGTGGGCTTCATGCCAACTGTTTGAACCCTCAGGGGATTTTAAATGACATTTTTCCTCACCGTTGATTTCATATTGATGCTGAGTCATGCTATATTTTTACTATTTTTAAAACTCAGCTATGTTATTCTGTTTTAAACACATTAAATAATATTTTAAAGATATTTTTAGCTGAGCTTCATATTTTACTAATGCCCGAGGGGCTTATGAGATTCTGACTGGGTAAGGCCGAGGGCCTGTGTTGTGAGGATACTTTTGGGTCGGGCTGCACGCCGCAGCAGTGATATACTGATTATAATAACGAGGCTGAGGGCCTGAATTGTATGCCACGAGGTGGCTTGAGATTGATATGAGGCCGAGAGCCTGTTTATGATGCCACGAGATGGCTTGATATTGCGCTTAGGCCGTAAGGGGCCCCTTCTGGAGTCTGTACACCCCCAGTGAGCGCGGGTACCCCATTGTGATATGAGATATAGCCCGAGGGGCTGGTATTGTTCTGTGATATTGCCCGAGGGGCAGTTATTATGTGTTTACTTTTGGTTATTTTTCCTGTATATTGTTTAACTATTTAAAAGATGTTTATGAGATTTCATTGCTTAATTATATTTACTGATTTTGCTATGCCTCTTTTAGCTTAATGTTGTGCCTTACGTGGTTTTATATTACTCAGTCTTCATTTTTTTTATTACTCACTGAGTTGGAGTACTCACTTTACTCCCTGCACCACCGTGTGCAGATTCGGGCGCTACAGGTCCTGCTCCTGAGGGCAGATTCGGGCGCTACAGGTCCTGCTCCTCGGGAAAACAACATTAGATTTACCCCTTTACTTTTAATCATGTTTTAAACTTACCCTACGTTATACTTCAGTTAGGTATGGATCTCCATTAGGAGCAACAACAACAATAACAATCCAGTAAACTCCTATAAGTGGAGTCTGGGGAGGATAGAGTGTACGCAGACCTTACCCCAAGAAGTAAAGAGGCAGTTTCCCATAGATGAATCTCCATTAGGAGCATAGGAAAATATAAAACGATTTAACACTAATATGAATAATCTTAATATTTTGTACAGTAAATGAGTATTTATTTTTATCCTATTCCATGTATTAGTATTAAATGAGATGTGAGCTGTTGTTGGGAATTTTGAATTAGGCTTGGAAGACACGCACCCAAAAAAGGAAAAGCATATGCCTAAGTTGACTAATTAAAACACCTTGCTTCCCAAGTTTTCCCACCTCTTCCACCTCCAAAGCTCTCTACTCTTCCTATATATAAACCGAATCCATCACCATTTCTACAACCAATTCAACCATTTTTAAGCTCACAAAAAACTCAACCAAAAATGAAGAGAGAAGGTCGCCAACATGGTATGGTTCGTACTTACCCAATTTTACCTTCCCCTTGGAACCCAAAACCCGAGCCCAGGTACATCAACAAGTCCAATTCACCACCAACCGCTGGGCTTTTCACAAAGGTTTCAACTAAGCCCTGTAACCATTCCAAGTTCACAGGCAAGTGCGGTAGGCCCAGATGCAACAGCTGCCATATTCACCCAGCTGGAAAATCCAAGGATAAAACTAAAGGAACTCAAAAATTAAAGGGACGTGGCGACGTTGTTTCGAATTATAGGTTGATTACTTGGAGAGTTGTTGATTCCAGACCTGGGTTGAATTTTTCTGGGTTTTCGGCTACTGGATTAATGGATCATTTGGATAGTGATTATTCTTATTACATGGATCATGATGATGATCATGGAATTTACTATGATGCCCCTGATGAAGGTTATTTTAACGAGGAAATTGGATCAGAATTGGTAGTTGACTCCAATTGTTCAACACCTGGTGTTGAGATTGAGGAAATTGATGATGAAGAAGAAAGAATGAGTTTCTGTGAGGTGGGATTTGTGTGGGAAAAGGTTGAAGAAGATGGAGATTGGTGTGTGGTGGAAGAAATGTAAAAATTGGGTGCGTTCAATTGTATTTGTATTTAATATTGTGACCTTTCAATTATATTTACTGTTAAAAAAAATGTTCCATTTCTGTAATTGTCAAATAAATTGGAATATATTGCATACAAATTTGAGATGGCATTAGTTTGTGCTGAAGCTGCAGTTTTTAATTTGTCAGTATGCTTTCAACCTAATAGTTAGTGTTTAAAAGGAAAATTTGATGGTTCAGATTCAGTTCACGGGGAATATGAGCATATTCTAAATTCTTTTACGCCAAAAAGATGATGGTTTCGTATAAGTTAGTGATTGTCCACTACTCCTTTTTTATTGTTATCCTTTTAGATGCACCGAACAACCGACTCATTGCTTCGTTAGAGAGTTTACATTGCGTTTCTGTTTTGTGCTTCAACTATGGACTTAAAAACAATATTGATCAACAAATAAGACTTAAAAAACAATATTGATAATATTGATCAGATAACTATGTTCTTGAGATCCTTCAAATATTGTCAGATGCTTGTTTGATCCTTCAAAATAGTGCATAAGAATCCAACACGTAAGTAGCGACATTTTTCGAAAGACCAAACAATATATTTGGTATTGGGCCGGTCGTCTCATGAGTTACCGCTCCGTTTTTCTCATTTCTGCTTCTATTTGCTTTAATTATCGATTTTATATGTGATCGGGTTGGTTGAATCGGGTTCGGAAAGGTTCTGAGAAGTTTGAGATACTTAGTCTCTTTTAGGAAAGCCTAAGTTGGAAAAGTCAACCGGATGTTGACTTATGTGTTAGAGGGCTCGGATGTGAGTTCCGATGGTTCGGATAGCTTCGGGAGATGATTTGGGACTTAAGAGTGTGATCGGAATGTATTTTGAAGGTCCGGAGTAGAATTAGGCTTGAATTGGCGAAATTGAGTTTTTGGCGTTGTCGGGTTGATACGTGAGATTTTGATATAGGGGTCGGAATGGAATTCCGGAAGTTGCAGAGCTTTGTTATTTCATTTGGGATGTGTGTGCAAAATTTCAGGTCATTCGGACGTGGTTTAGTATACTTTTTGATCAAAAGCGGAATGCGGAAGATTTTAGAACCTTAGGCTTGAATTCGATGCGTTTTGGTGGTTTTGATGTTGTTTGAGGTGTTTTGAAGGTTGGTACAAGTTTGAATGAGGTTACGGGATGTGTTTGTGTTTTTGGTTGAGGTCCCGGGGGGCCTCGGCGTGATTTCGGATGGTTGACGGAGAGTTTGAGATTTTATGAAGCTGCAGATTTTTTTTCTGCTTTTGGTATTCCGCACCTGCAGAAAGGGAGCCGCAGGTGCGAGGGCGCATATGCGAGGAAGGAGCCACAGAAGCGAAAAGGTGCTAGGGAGGCAGAAACCGCAGATGCGGTTGGAGGACCGCACCTGCGATGGCGCAGGTGCAGATATGGGATCGCAGATGCGGGAAATACGGAATTAAGTGAGGACCGCAGATGCGGTGAAATGACCGCAGATGCGGAAATATCTCGACAGAACATATAAGTTATTTCCTTCGCGATTTTCAGAGGGTTTTCTCACTTTTTAACACGAATTTGAGAGCTTTGGGCGATTCTGAAGAGAAAATTCAAGGAGAACTCATTGAGGTAAGAATTTTGGACTTAAAAACTCGATTCTATGGTATTAATGCACGGATTAGAGCTGTAATTAAAGGTAAAATTTGAGAAACTAGGGCTTAGAAACCTAGGCCGTTGATTGAGGATTTGGAAGACCATTTGTAGTCGGATTTTGGAACTTTTTATATGTATGAACTCGTGGGGAGATAAGGAATCTAATGATGTTAATTTTATCGAATTCCGAGACGTGGGCCTGGGGGTCGGATTTTGGTAATTTTGGGAATTGTGAAGTTTTTCGATTATTTTCGAGTGGGCTTCGTCCCTTTAACATAAATTAATGGCTACGTTCTGATTTTGGTAGATTCCGAGCATCCGGAGATCGATTCGAAGGGCAAGGGCATTGCGAGCTAAACCTCGGGCCGGATTGAGGTGAGTAATGATTTTAAATGCTGTCCTGAGGGTATGAAACACCGGAATTTCACAGCGTTCGGCTATGTTGAGGTGGGACATACGCTAGTTGACGAGCGTGGGGTCGTGCACTATTGGGGATTGTGACTTAGTCCATCCCGAATGACTATTTTACTGCGTATTTGACAGTTAATTGTTTGATATTATTATATTTTGGGCTAAATGGCATATGTGGGCTTCGTGCCAACTGTTTGAACCCTTAGGGGATTTTAAATGATTATTTCCTCACTGTTTGATTTCATACTGGTGCTCAGTCATGCTATATTTTCACTATTTTAAAAACTCAGCTATGTTATTCTGTTTTAAACACATTAAATGATATTTCAAAGATATTTGAGCTGAGCTTCATATTTTAGTGTTGCCCGAGGGGCTTAGGAGATTCTGACCGAGTAAGGCCGAGGGCCTGTGTTGTGAGGATACTTTTGGGTCGGGCTGCACGTCGCAGCAGTGATATACTGATTATGATAATGAGGTTGAGGGCCTGAGATTGTACGCCACGAGGCGGCTTGTGATTGATATGAGGTCGAGAGCCTATTTATGATACCACGAGGTGGCTTGATATTGCGCTTGGGCCGTAAGGGGCCCCTCCCGGAGTCTGTACACCCCCAGTGAGCGCGGGTACCCATTGTGATATGAGATATAGGCCGAGGGGCTGGTATTGTTCTGTGATATTGCCCGAGGGCTGATGCTGTTGTTACTGTGCCCGAGGGCAGTTCTTATGTGTTTACCTTTTCTAGTTGTTTTTTCTCTATATTGTTTGACTGTTTTAAAAAGGTGTTATGAGATTTCACTGCTTAATTATATTTACTGATTTTGTTATGCCTCTTATAGCTTAATGTTGTGTGTAACGTGATTTTATATCGCTCAGTCTTTATTTATTTTTAACTCATTGAGTTGGAGTACTCATTTTACTCCCTGCACCCCTGTGTGCAGATTCGGGCGCTACAGGTCCTGCTATTGAGGGTTGATAGTTCCAGCAGATCTTCGGAGATTTACTAGGTAGTTGCTTGGCGATTCGCAGCCCAGTGCATTCTCTCTCTATCTTAGTTCTTTTTTTTGATTCAGTCATGTAGTAGTGGACTAGACTTTCAGACTTGTAGTATTGTTTTAGATGCTCATGACTGGTGACTCCCCGATATCGGGCTGTGTTAGTTTTTTTTAATTTTCGCAAGTTAAACTGTTAAATGCTTATTTTGGGATTTTATTTTTGATGAAAGACTTAGTAGTTATTATTTTAATTGCTTAAAGTGAATTGGAAGTGTGTCGGCTGGCCTTGTCTTCACGAGAGGCGTCATCACGACCAGGTTGGGTTCAGGGTCGTGACAGGCATGTAACATGGAATACTCTTCATCCGTTCATCGCATCAATATATAGTGGGCGTCTGGACATAAGAGTTGTAAAAATCCGAAAAAGGTGGAAAAAAATTCAAGTGAAAATGGTATTTGAAAATTAGAGTTGTGTTTGGACGTGAATATAATTTTGGATTGTTTTTGAATTTTATTAATGATCTGAGTGAAAATTTTGGAAAACAACCTTTTAGAGTTTTTCAAATTTTTGAAAAGTTCCAAAATTCATCTTCAAACGAAAATTGAAAATTTTATGGCTAAACATTGATTTCGAAAAAAACTAAAAAAATTTCGAAAAAAAGGAAAAAAAAATTCATGGCCAAACGGGCTCATAATCAATGCTTGTGACTTCGATTTTCACTATTCCCCATCATCTTGTTTATATGTCAGTCAGACACACGGATAATGTTCTACCTTAGTAGATACTGGATGTACGCACAGTACCATACATATGCTTATATGGTCACAGCAGGACAATATTTAAGCCTTGCTTTATAATTTGACTAAAAATGTTATACTACCTAAATTGAGCTGGTTTTGTATTTCACAACGTAATCGTTGTCCCTTCAAAATTTACGATCTTGAAGGGTAAATACTAGACACCGCATTTTCAGGCTGGAAGCTCAGTCCAGGACTCAGGATTACAACTCTTTCTAAACCATAACACATGCCTCTAGATAGCTTTTATACAAGATTTAGAGTTGAGGAGATATACACCTCCCCATCTGATCAGGACCAAGCATTTCTAAAAAAAAATCACTACTCTTTGTAAGGAATGAAAATTTTATAGGTTTTCAACTAGTCTTCTTTCTTGGATTCTTGCATGAGTCATTCTTGGTCAAAGATGCAGAAGTTGGCTTTGAGACTAAGCCTTGCTTTGAGCTTGGATATGGCATTCTTCTAAGCTTGGGCAATTGTGCAGCTGGAGTCTGCACAAAAATAAACCATATGAAAATGCTGCTACCAAGAATATATAGTAGGAGAAAATCGCGGAGAAGGATGCTGATCACAATAATCAGTTCAGTGTCGAGACTGTCATTCATCGTGAAGCCTAGTTGATTTATATCATCACGAAAAAAGTGGGGACAAAAGTAGCTTTTAATAATAACTGAATAATGAAGGAATAATACAATGTAGTGGTACCTTTTTTGTGGGATCTATTGCTGTTTCTCTTTCCTTGTAGAACTCAGGCAGGGGGCGAGCTTTGAAGCAAAAGCTTTGCCGAAGTTTCCTGAACTCCGATTCTGCTTTCTCCTGCAAGCAACATTGCATTGTTTGTTGATACGAATTTGACTTTATATTGATCATTTGCAATTTAAGATGACACTCCAATGTTAGAAATTTTGGTAAGAAAAAATATTGCAGAATATGAAAAGAGCGGATTAAAGGTGTGTAACTTTGTCTCTTTCCATTAAGCATTTTCAGGTGAAAAAAAGAAGTACCAAATCCAATTTGTATTTGTAAGCCATTAGCATGAGTAACAGATGCTAAAGATGGTTTAGATGTGTTTTATAAAGAAACTGAATCATGTGTATATAAAGATAGTAGTTTTCTTCCACTTAAACATCTTATTCCAATATTTGACTCCAAAGCGAAGAATAGAAAAGATGATGCTAAGCATGTGCATATGTATAACTAATGTTAGAAACTTTAATTTACACTATACAGCAACCTTTCCTTGTTATTATTAGAAATCATAAGAAGAAAAATGGAGGAAAAGAATAGGAAATGTCAACTCCCAAATTGACTACAA